CACATCAACCAGCTCTGACTGGGGGATCCCAAGCCGCTCCCAGGCCAGCGAAGAGATATAATCCCTCCATCTGGTTCTAGGTCTACCCCTTGGTCTCTTCCCAGCTGGACGTGCCTGGAACACCTCCCTAGGGAGGCGCCCAGGTGGCATCCTAACTAGGTGCCCGAACCACCTCAACTGGCTCCTTTCGACGCGAAGGAGGAGCGGTTCAACTCCGAGTCCCTCCCGGATGACCGAACTTCTCACCTTATCCCTAAGGGAGACACCAGCCACCCTGCGGAGAAAACCCATCTCGGCCGCTTGTACCCGCGATCTCGACTATTAAACTGTTCTATTTAATTATTTCAAATGTAAAAAAGAAACACCATCATATTTGTGAAGTAGCAGAGCGGGCTCTATTTTCTAGTTCAGTTCTGTATGAGGCTCATGAATATCATGGTAAAGATTTGATTATTTCTTAAAAAGCTCTGCTTTGCAGCTCACCAGCAACATCTTATACTGTAGTAACTATTTAGAGCCAAATGTGTGTTCCTACAGAATATAACGTTTACAGATGAATTCCTTACAAAGGAATATACATACTAAATCAATGAATATAGAACTGCCAGTGCTTCCCTTTAACGTGTCTACATGGTGGTGTGTGTGTGTGTGTGTGTGTGTGTGTGTGTGTGTGTGTGTGTGTGTGTGTGTGTGTGTGTGTGTGTGTGTGTGTGTGTGTGTGTGTGTGTGCTGAACAGTGTTGAACATTTCTGTGTTTCCTTCCTGTGCAGAGGCAGTACCACTCCCAGATTGACGATCTGATTGAAGAGACGGTGAAGGAGATGATAACTCTGCTGGTAGCTAAGGTACACAATATTATGGAGTCCTTGTACACAGTAGATGCATTTGATGTAATATTGTATGGCTGAAAATATTATATTGTTTATTCTATTTTTGTAAATATAAAATGTTCTTTGTATGTTTAGGTTCAGTACTGGAGAAGGTTTCAGAAGGTTCACTGCATGATATATGGAAAGCTGACTAAAAGCTTTGGAAGCTATACAGGCTGCTGTTTTAGAGTGATTGTTAACATTTTGGAAAATTAATAAAATACCACAAGCATGCAAAATGAACACAAACTCAAAACACTCAAAATGACAACAAAATGATTAAAAGTTACCAAATTAAATGTTTTTCTAGAAAAGGATGTTGGAGTATTTTGTCGATAGATAGAGGAGCATTTATCTTTATTCTGAACTGACAGAATGGAAATCTGGAGATGGACAGTTTTCTGATGCATTGCTTTATTTTAGACTGCCCTCATTGCAATACTGCTTATGGGAAATGTATGTAAGTTAAATGAATCAATAATACGGGTGTTAAAGTACGTTTTTACTGCTAATCCTTCCTGGTTTTTACTAGGCGTTTGATTGAGATGGACGATGGGTTGTTTGTGGCACTGCTGCATTTTCACAATTTCAGTCATTCCACTGCTTGTTTTTCTTTTTGTCCCATTCCTCAGTTTGTGGTCATCCTGGAGGGTGTGTTAGCCAAGCTCTCCAGATATGACGAAGGAACGCTCTTCTCTTCCTTCCTTTCTTTCACAGTAAGTATCACTTCCATCACCATCATCCCTTTCTTTTTAAACATGTTCCTGCAGATAATCAGTAGCTTCTGTGTTTGTGACACACTTCCAGTTTTTCACCTCTTCTCTCTCCTCTTTGTCCAGGTGAAAGCTGCTTCAAAGTATGTGGATGTACCTGTAAGTGAGATTTACTTACTTTTCTATCTATCACTTAATCATGCATTAATCAACCCTGTTTCCTCTTGATATAACTAATTTGAATAGGTATTACCCTGCATACCATGTGTTGTTAGCATCGGCTACTAAAACTCTTCAAGGTTGAGAAAGATGCTGGCTTTTGTTAAGATATAATAATAATAATAATAATAAATGATATTTATATAGCGCCTTTCAAGGGACCCAAAGGTCGCTGTACATGGTGGACAAACAAAACAAACAGACAATCAAAGGGCAAACAAAAAATAAAGGAACCAAGGGGGACCAAGAAAGGTCTAGGGCCCGAAGGCCAGGGTGAACAGGTGTGTTTTTAATAAGGATTTGAAGATGTCCAGGGAGGCAGCATTACGGACCTCGGCAGGAAGTGCATTCCAGAGGGTGGGGGCCGCAACACTGAACGCCCTGTCACCAACAGTTCGGAGGCAAGAGCGGGGGATGGAGAGCAGACCCCCGTCTCAGGACCGCAGACTCCACAGTAGGGGTGTAGGGATGGAGGAGGTCCGATAAGTACTGGGGTGCGAGGGAATGGAGGGACTTGTACGTGAGGAGGAGTGTTTTGTACTGAATCCGGGACTTGACCGTCAGCCAGTGTAGGTGGATGAGGGTGGGGGTGATATGTTGCCATGGGTTGGTGCGGGTGAGAAGCCTGGCGGCAGAGTTATGGACATATTGGAGCCTGTCCAGGGTTTTGCTGGGAACCCGACAGGACTCCATTGCGGTAGGCCAGATGGGATGTGATGAAGGCGTGTACAAGTGTTTCTGCCACAGAGTCAGAGAGTGAGGGGCGGAGTCTGGCAAAGTTTTTGAGATGGTAGAAGGCGAATTTGGTAACAGATTTGATGTGCGCCTGGAAGGAGAGGGTGGAGTCCAGGATGACTCCCAGGTTGTGGACTTCAGTGGACGGGGAGATGGAGCAGCCGTCAATGGTGAGAAGCAAGTCTCCAACCTTCTGGAGCTGTGCCTTGGGAGCCACAATCATGAGCTCTCTTTTATTGCTGTTGATTTTTAGCAGGTTTGATGACATCCAGTTTTTGATGTCCTGTAGGCAGTTGACAAGGGATTAAGGGGGGGAGCTGAGTGGACGGTTTAGTGCAGAGATAGAGCTGTGTGCCATCAGCATAAGAGTGAAAGCTGAGACCATGTTGGCAGATGATTTTACCAAGTGGGAGCATGTAGATGGTGAATAGGAGGGGTCCAACCACAGAGCCTTGAGGTACACCTTGGTTGACTGGGGCCGGAGGGGAGCTGCAGTCACTGAGGGTGACAAAGTGTTTCCTGTTAGAGAGGTAGGACTCTAACCAGGCAAGAGCTGTGTCACTGAGGCCAAGGTAGTCAGACATCTTTTAAAAATTAAAATAAACAAGATAGCTCAGCGTAATGAGGGTTTATGCTGTCTAAACAGAACCACAAAGCTCTAATTCCAGGAGTGATATAAAGGAAACATTTATAAAATCCACAATTAAACTAAATATGTGATTTTTAAAAGCAAAAACCAAAATGAAAATGTGAGAAATTCTAATATGCATTATGTTTATGCAAGAGAACAAAAATACAACACTGGCATATACAGTAAGACTCTTCCAACATGCATTTGCTTATTGAAATCACTCATATGTAAAAATACACGCGAGACGAGACGCGGAATAAAATGAAGGAGCTTCATTTCATATTACTGTTTAAACCAAATGTAATTATTTATCGCCTATGTAAAAATAAACGGACAACCATTAACACATTGGCTAACACTCCATTCATTTAATTTACATTTCAACATCATTTTTAAATAAAACGTTTAAGGTTGTTTAGAGGACCAGAACCTGGTGTTTTTTTCCCCAGGACCGTGTGTGTTTGTTTCTTGTGGATGTACAAATATTTGACCATGCTTTCACATGTAGAACCATAATCCAGATGGCCTTGGTTGTCGTATTTCCACATCAAATGTCCTCATGTTTCCTCCCATAAATGTCCATTGATATGCATGTGTCCAGACACCGTGCCTCGCTCTCTGTGCTACACATTGTGAGTCCATGTTGTGCAACACATGCCCATTCAGCTGTCAGGGTGCCGCTGGGGCTGCGTGTGTTTCTGTGTGTTTGTATATGCGTGTGGACGCATCAGATCTGTATTAGCTGCCAACACTACGGCCGTAGCAACATGCCAAATTTCAAATTAATGCCTTGTCAGTGAACGTGACGCGCCATTGTGTGCACTGGCAGGGGTCGCAGCTTCCAGCCCAGCACGATAATTGTGTCCTTAATGTACAAAATAAGAGTTCCACTGGGTAAAAGACTCTAATTTACACATTGTAAGTGTCATTGCAGATGTGTTAACTAAGTTTATTGGCAGTTAGCGATGAGCTTTTTGAATCTGTATGATTTGGCAGAAAAGACAGAGAAACTGAGACCCAAAGGTTTATGGTGTGTCGTCTCATCTGGACAATGGTAAGAATTGTTGATGTAAGAAAGAGAACTAAGGTGCCGGGTACAAACACATTGTCCTCAGTGAATATTTTAGATGTCAGCATGGCAGGCCTCCTAACAGTCTGCTCTGCCATCAAACCGCACAGTGTCTCAGTGCCCTGTTCACTTTGCACATGGCCAGCCGCCCCCAGAGCGGAGGGAGACATCACTGTCGATACAACACTTCTCCTTATTCTCCCAATAATACATTACTCGTTATATCATTATTAGTAAGTATAATTTGAAATATATTTTCTCTCCTGTATTACATTTGAGGTACTTCTACTTTACCTGAGTACTTTCATGGTATAATACTTTATACTCACATACCACATTTTGGAGGCAACCTTTGTACTTTTTACTCCACTACATTAATTTTTGTGATGTATTTACTACTTTATAAATTCATTTTGACACACAATAAAAACTTTTTTTTAAAAACTGTTTTAAAATGATTATAGTGTGTAGATTAAACTATCCAAGATTCTATTCAAGTAACTAAAACAAAAAAATACGTTTTTGTTCAAAGATATTTCACAGTTTTTTCTGCAAGGAGAACTCTGTACCCCTACATACTTTATGTAGATTGTCCTAATCGTACTTAAATACTTTTACTTACGTTTTTACAGTGTGATATCGGAATGTATTCTCACGTAAATAATCTGAATACTGCTCATGACAGAGTAGAGTCAGTAGCCATGCAGCTCTGTGTGGAGTTAGGCACAGTGTTCCGAACTAAATGCTAACAACAGCATGCTAGGACAGTCGCTAGGATAAAGTGTGGGCAACTTTAAAGTCTGCCTTAAAGGTGAGGTGGGTAAGTTTGAGAAACCGGCTCGAGATACACTTTTTGTTATATTCCATGGAATGCTCTTAACATCCCGATAGCAATGAATATCTTAAGTGCTTTGACAAAAAATCCATAAAAAAATGTCAATGTGACAGCTGTGTCACAAAGCCTCTTGATAGTTTGTCACTCCTTATTATAATGACAAATTATCTAATTAACATCCAATCGAGAAGTTTTAAGTGTTGAAGAAAAGCCTTGTGTGATACTATCACATATATTCTGTATCAGTATTAAGGCAATATGGTGATAACATTAACCCTGGGGTGGACACTATCTTTTAAAGGAACTAAACTTTAATATTTAAATGTCCTATTACTTTATACTATATGGATACTGTAGTACATTTGTTTGATAACCTGAGGTCAGGATAAACTTTATTGATCCCCTGATGAAAATTCACAAGCATCCCGGCAGTATGTATAGTAACAAAGAAACTCCTCCTTTTTTCACTTAACTGAGATTTTGAATACAGGACATGTAACAGAGTATTTCTACACTGAGGTATTACTTTTTCACTTTTTCTCTCTCCCTATTCTCCTCTGCAGAAGCCAGGGATGGACATCGCTGACGGTTACGTGACGTTTGTTCGTCATTCCCAGGATATGCTGCGGGAGAAGGTCAACGAGGAGGTGTACATAGAGAGATTATTTGATGTGAGTAAGCCCAGCACCTCCTCCTCTGTAAGGGAGACTTACTAACAACACACTTTCATTCACCCCACCTGTGATCATCCACAGGAGGAGATTAAAAACGAAAGTGATGTGACGTTAAATGATTATAGGTGTAGCGGCCAAAATCATATAGAAATAAAACAGATAATTAACTTAAAATAATACAGCCGCTGAGGCACTAGTTAGCGGATCTTACGCGGGGCAATGATCCAGGTCCAGACAAGATTCTCCGTTGTACATTTATTATGATCCAATATCATTGGCAATGAACAGGTTTCCTATGGTTTGTTCCTTAAGCCTTTCCTATGGCTTTCCTTTCCTGTGGTTGGAAAACCCTGTGGCTCGAAACACCCTGGTGGAAAACCGTTTGCCTACTAGTGCTCTGGCTCCCACCACCCACCTGTCTCCAATATATACAATTACACCAGGTGCTCTAATCACCCAGTGCCCAAAACATGCCTTCAAAATAAAAGCATAGAAACTACTTTAACTTATAAAGCTAACTAANCTCCGCTCTCTGACCGCGGGTTTAGTAGAGTTGCGTTGAGTAGAGCGGTTTGGAGAAATACAATGTAAAACTACCGAAAAATACCAGCTCCTTAAAACACAACCGCTCTACTCAACGCAACTCTACTAAACCCGCGGTCAGAGAGCGGAGATGTGTCCCCTGTGTGATGTAATATGACGCGTTTGACGTATGACCTTAAAAAAAAGCCGTTTTTAAGAGCAGAGCTCAAAATTGCTCCTTTCCCTCTGAATTCCTGCCCTTATGTCTCGTAAAACCTATCAAATCCTGCATTCACTTTTTTAATTGTAATTTTCAAGCAAGTTTAAGCATAAATGTAGAAAAAATAAAAACCTGCAAGATGCTCTTTAACCTTAAACCTTATAGGAAAATTATTTGAAATAATAAACATCCTAAAAAGGTTATCTGAACATCAGATTAAAACGTTTCTTTAAAACATTATTATAACCTGTAGGTAACGTTAGCCAAAGTTGTGAGAACGTTCGCTGCTAGCTGGGTACATCTCTTGCTTATTTCAAAAGTAATTGCATTTATTTCTTCCTTGGAAGAAAATGTATTTTATATAGCTTTTAACTAGATTGAAATAGTGCCAGTTTCATCAGTCACCATGTCCTTTCATTGCATGGCTTGGTTGAATATTTAATTCTGATTGTTCAATTTGAACCTTCTACTGTCTTTTATGAAAGGCACACTGAACTTATGTGCCAGATTTTGTGATATAACTGATTTATTAGTAAGTTGGCCTGTAATGGGATAAAGTGCAGACCACAGGCTGAAACAGATGCATATTGGATCTCGTTATTTCTCTCCAGCCCCCGAAACCCCAACTTACTTAGAAAACAAGCAGTAACAACTGTTTTTGTTTGCAATCAGACCAATATATATTTGACCAGTGTCCTACCGTTTTACGCATGATTCGATCATGTCGCTGGACATCAGCTTCAGGCGGGTCTCCAGGTGTTTGCCAAACTCCTCCTCAGGCCAGTGCAGATCTCTGATGAAGGTCTGCAGAGCGTCCAGCTTCCAGAAGAGGTCCTCTGACGTTCCCGAGCCATTACTGCAGGGAGAGTGCACTTTTGTAAGTCGCTTTGGATTAAAGCGTCAGTTAAATGCAATGTAATGAGAGGCTCACAGGTTAGAGTGTCAGGGAGGCTAGGACAGGGCTGTGGCTCAGGGGTCACATGGGAGGGCAAGGTGGGAGACTGCTCAGACCAGTGTTTACAACAACAGTGTAGCTGGTTGTTTTTGAACACCACTGACCATTTTATCAAGAATATGACTTCCATGAAGAGTTTTAAACTCAACCGTGGCTCAGACAGAACCACAGTGCAGGGACATTCAGACACACGAGAGGACAGGGTGCTTCAGGTACCCGGGGGAAAGCTTTAGATGTGGAAAGATGCAAGTCTGTAACCAGGACAGTCAGAGATCGCCTCTGCCAGTTTAAACTGGATTCACAGCCGTAAATACTTTACATTTTGGCAGACATTTAGATTTTCACATGATTTTTAAATGACCTGCTTCTCATCCTGTGGTGTGAATTGACATTTGTATCCTGGTCAATTAGGACAGGTTCAATCCCTCCTGGACCCCCACTGCAGTCAGCATGCCGTTGTGTCCTTGGGCAAGACCCTTGACCCCAAATTGTTCCTGAGGGTGCTGTCCACAGTGTGGAATGTATTCAATGAATAATATATGTAATATAATGTAACGTAAAGCGCTTTGAGCACTTGGAAAAGCGCTACGATGAATAACATGATTATGACTATTATTAAAGCTGCTGGGTTAGATGTCCTAAACAAGTTGTTTTTCTAAATGTTTCCTAGGCGAGTATATTAGTTATAATTTTAAATTATTTAAAAGTTAAAATAACAAATATATACAGTGAATAGTAATGAAATTCATGAAAATTGATACATCGTAAGAACAAAATCTAAATTTCTCAAATAGAGCATTAACGAGCATGGAAAATGTTATGAATTGATCATAAAATTGGAGAGAATGTGGTAAACAGATCTGTTTGGTAAAGCCTCACGCCTGCTAGTTGTGAACATTTAGGATGGTCTTCTTTTAGTTGCTCCTTTTTTTCTTTTTCTGCCTCTTCGTTGAGTATTTGCATCTTTCCAGTAAAATCAGAAAAACATTTGGAAATTGTTGGGATTTAATTTCCAGGTCACTGCCTTCTCCATTCATTCACACACACCATGCCGGGACATTGGCATGAACGTGAATAGTGAAACGTGATAAGTCAATATTAGCATAGACCATTAATGTATGCACTCCTAAACTGAAACCTTTTTGTAAAGCCATCTGTCTTCTTTACACTACTGATTCTTGAAGGCACAAAAGAGACAGTTCTGCCATATCTGTAGGCATCTTTCTTTTTGAAAAGTGAATTAGTTTCTAAATATAAAGGCTGAAATGCAGCACTCATCATTTTTTTTCACAATTCAAACTTTGGGGCTGGTATTTTCAAATCCTCCAGATTCCTGATGAGGGAACAGTCCGGATGTGCTGCAGTGACACTCTGCAGGAGGCTGCCGCTCAGAGCAGCTTCACACCTCTGAGCCCCGTTGTTGGTGCTTTTCGCTTAAGTTTTCAAGGTGCTATAGATGATATGTCAAGTGTTTGCAGAGATATGCAGAGTGCTTTTAATGATAGCACTCTCAAGATCACATGCATATTATTATTAGATTCCTCAGTGGAATCAGAGGCTGTTACACATTATTCACTCTTTTTAAAGGGCCACAGAAATTCTACTTACAGTCCATACTTTTAATGAGCTCGATTTCATGATTTAATAATTGATGATACAGAACTACCGACTGTTCACTCTGAAGGAGCTGCAATGTTTCTATAGATTTAAAGGTGGGGTAGGTAAGTTTGAGAAACCGGCTCGAGATACACTTTTTGTTATATTCCATGGAATACTCTTAACGTCCCGATAGCAATGAATATCTTAAGTGCTTTGACCAAAAATCCATAATAAATGTCATCTGTGGAAGCCGTGGCGCTGTAGAAAGCACGACCAATCATCTGAGCCGGCCCGACTAAAATAACTGGATGGCCTACCTGCCTGTCAGCCTTCCATCTGTGCATAAACTTATCTCGTGCCCTCATTGGTCATGTGCGCGTTCGTGTGTGTTGGAGGAGGAGCTCTGTAAGGAAGTGGCNACTGTGAACCCAAGGTCTATGTGTCTGGGGAGGTCATTCAAACAGTTACACATTTTAAATATCTAGGCATTATCCTTGACACTACTTTATCCTTCAAAAAACAAGTGAGAAAGGTAATGCAAATAACTAAATACAATCTAGCACACTTTAGATATATAAGGAACTGTTTGACAACACCTGTAGCAAAACTCTATATGACTGCCATGATCCTTCCCCACCTAACATACTGTATGACCAGCTGGACCCAGGCGAATAGCACAACATTAAGGCCTATCCTGTCACTTCACAAACAAGCTCTCAAAGTTTTGGACAGAAAACCTAAGCTATACCACCATTGCAACATCCTGGACAAACATAACCTGCTCAGCTGGGGAAATATTTGAAAACACACTGATGCATGTCTCATTTTAAAAATTCTAAACGGCAAGGCACCCCCAGGGTAGTCCCTCGTAGGTCCAGTTCCTTTGGTAAACACTGTTTCTCTGTGAGGGCATCAACACTTTGGAACACACTACCAATACAGATAAGGAATAACACCTCCTATCATACATTTAACCGCAATCATAAGAACTGGCTTTTAAACAATCAAAAATGTGAACACTTTTAACTGTATCAAGGTATGATGATATTTCATCTGTTTGCATGTTTGTTTGTTCCACTCTATTGTTGTACTGCTATTTATTTATTGTTGTACTGCTGTTGTCTGCTGTACTCTATTTAATTATGTTTTTATTTCTCTAGTCTTGTTCTGGTCATTTAACATCTTGCCAGGGACAACAGTTGAAAATTATCCTGCTGGCTAATACTGGCTCATTTACAGCAATGTGGATTAATGTGAACTGTCCTTTAAGTAAATAAACAAACAAACAAACAAACAAACAAGCTATGTTGATGTTTGGTTGCACCACAGAGATGAAAGTATCATCTCAGCTTCTCTGGTGTCAATCCACACTACCTAAGACATTGTCTCAGAAAATAATGTTTTCACTTTCTCCAGCCAATAAGTGCAAAGTCTTACTCTTGATGTAGATCAGGAGAGAGGCTAACAGGTACAAAAAGCTAACAACATTCACCCACAACAACAAAATGTAACTAAATGACATCAAAGCATTATTATGAGGTGAGGGTGATAACTGTCCAACCTTAAAGCTAGTGCACCATAACAACAGTGAAACTACATCACAGGACAATATGCAGATGAGGACGTAACGTTATAACAAACACACCATGAGAGCAAACACTGGCAACTGCTTCAAATTAGCAGTTGTAAAGTAATCTTACCCTGCACATTTGCATGACAATGTGGGGCATATATTTACATGTAATTGCCCATATTAATGTGTATACTTATTTAACATCTTACAGACCACTGACATAAGGTTAGTAGGTACAGAAGATGTGGGCATTTAAATTGAACCCGCAATACATTTTTTTCATTGAGGTGTATCTTCAGTTATTTTTCATGTGAATCATCTTTGACGTAGCATCTCCTTTTTTTGTCTTGTGTTATAATGCTTCTCTCCACAGGAGTAAATCCAGCACTCTGCCCAATGTCAACCTCCCAAAGCCCAAAGTAGAAACTCTCACAGGGCCCAGTGCTAACCTCACACACACGCCCGGCTTATCTTCACCCAGCTGGATGGCGGATAGTTATCAGTGTGTATGAGCCTCTGCAGCCTGACACACACACACACATGTCCTTGGCTTGAACGTGGAATCTTTTTATTATCCACATTTCTTTCCATTCTTGGTTGTTAGGTTTTTACAGGAAGTCAAGAAAATTCGAATCATCTATAATGTGAAAAATACATAATAGGTTTTATCTGAATTTATACACATATTAAAGGTGTTGTAGGTCATTTTGGAGAAACCAGCTCGAGTGCGCTAGAATTAGAAAATACAAGACCAGAGAAAATCTGCCACTTCCTTACAGAGCTCCTCCTCCAACACACACGAACGCGCACATGACCAATGAGGGTGCCAAGGCACACNTCCGGGGACACAACTGATGCAAACAACTATAGGCCCATTAGTATTTTACCGTCCAGCCAATTGCTCAGCTACACATTTCTCAGAGATCTTAGACATGACAGGTAAAATACTAATGGGCCTATAGTTGTTTGCATCAGTTGTGTCCCCGGATTTGTGGACTGGCACAACAATGGCTAACTTAGGTATCAAACTAAATAATTTCAAGGTATTTTCGTATCCATCAGGGTTCCACCCACCCCATAGAGTCCAGTAGAGGGCGGAGCCTGTGAGATATAATGATGGGTTACGTATTGTAACCCTAGTTATATAAGTACAGGCAGAGCCCTCTACTAGGGGGCCCTGTCTGTCCTATGCTGCTCGCTGAAGAGGGTGTAGGGTGTCGGGAAGCGTGGCCAGCGCACGCACTCAGGTAGGCCCGCCCCCGGGAGGCGGCTACATTTATAAATATCTCAGTAGGTGAACGCTCGCATAGTGAGGTCAAGGGCAGTACCCATAGAGTCAAGTAGAGGGCTCCGCCTGTGCTTATATAACTAGGGTTACAATACGTAACCCATCGTTTTCACCCCGTGAGGGTTGACGCCAACTTTACATGGACGCTGTGGGGAAAGACGTAGTATATTAACGTTCTCCTGACGAGACCTCAAATCATCTTCGTAATATCTATCAAACTATAGATCCTACACATCCACTGGACGGATTCTAAAAGTACAATATACACTTCTCGCTAGGAATCTAATCAAAAAGCATTTTAACTATAATACAATTTAGGATTTTCCAGAGAGGGTTATTTGTGAATATACGACCCTCCGGAGCGTTTGCAATCAACGGGAGCATATGCCGCAAATTGTTGTTTCTTACACGACCACTAGAGGTGCTAAACTTTAAAACGTGACTTTAGGTCGTAATAAGCTGCTGAACGATCGACCTATTTGGTCGTTTTTTGGAGGAGGACAGGCTGGATATTATTTACAATTTCAACAGGGATATTGTTGATTGGCATTGATGATGTGTTTTGGATATTTCCTCACTGTTAATTTTCTTTTTACATTTATTTACAGCACACTGGAAAGAAGACTAAACTAAAGATTAAACGGCCGTATATTAAAGCAAAATACAAATCTGCCGCTGTCATATCAGCCATCTGACAGTTATTAACCTGCTCACATAATAACTGATAATAATTCTCTTTTGACATATCAATGTTTGTGTTAACAATGTGTTTTAAAAATCTAAATTGTACAGAACACATCCTCACTGCGGGTGAAGAAGATAGCTAACAGTATAGTGAATGAAGGCATCCTTACTTGACAGGTTCCCAGGATTCTCTTTCAAAGCCTCTGTGAATGGACTGAGCAATGGAAGACTCCATCAGGTCCACATAGCGCACCACCAGGGGGGCATACAGGTCCTGCAGGTGCTTGTGGAACTTTCCATTGCACAGGTTATCTGGGGAGGGTGAAAAAACAACATCAAAGAGACTTAGTTAACCTAAGCACATGAGAAGCCCCTCACTGCAGTGCGTACTATGTTTACTATGGATGTCTTCCTCTTTCTTGTCGTTATTAGCTCAAAACTAATTGTAACTACTTTGCTAGCATGTTACTGTCCCCTGTAGATCAGCGATATCAACGAGTAAAACCATTGGCTGGAAAGCGAATATGGTCATGGTGAAGAGACACAAAAACAAGTCTCCATAATCTCATGACTGAGCAGACTCATCTCTGATTTAATCTCTACAACTCTCAGCAGGTGCAGCACTACAATTCTTGTTTCATTCCTGCTTCGTGAGTGTAGATGTGACCCAAAGGTGCTTTTTACACTTGTTGTGTTCATGTTGGGTTACAAGATAAATCAGAAGGTCAGCCAGATAAATAATAGATTTCCCTGTCCTAGACGATGATGATAAACAATGACAGGGGAGGAAGGTGTTTCTGTTAACACTGGCTCTTCATTAACTGCTATCTAAGCATATTCAGTTTTCAATCTGTATAGACAAAAGGTGGGAATCCCTGCCTTTTTTAAATCCAATCCAACACACACAATTCTGTGCCGGCTCCCAACTGGTAAAAAGGCAACACTGACAAAGACCACAGGAGATAAAATGGAGGCCAGTGTGTGCTAATGTGATGCCTCACGGCTCCATGCAGCGTGTCTGCTTTTCCTCTCCCTCTTTGTTTTTCTCTCCCCCTCTGAGCATGTATGTGTTTGTGTGTGTTGGCATTGGAGTCAAGGTCGATGATACACAGTAGGTGCGATGTTTGTTGTGTTCCCTGATTACCACTCTCCCAATTAGCCACTTGAGCGGCTGCTGTCCACTTGGATGTGTTGTGTCCAGGAGTGTGTTCGCAGGGCCCACTACCCCTGCTTTAGACCTCATTAACTCCTCGAATGGCAGTGCGTCTTTGGCGCCTGCCTAGTGCTCAGGCTAAGGCTATTTACTGCTCCATAAGTGCACCGCTGTGGGGCAACAGAGCAGATGACCTTCTGTGGAAAAGATGTCCCTGTGAGGATGTTCGTTACTAAAGTGTGCGCTTTTCACACTGTGAGGACTCTGCTGGTTTAATGTTGCTATTTAAGACAGACCCTCCGATTTTTGCTTCCAAATAACATAGTGGTCTGATTTGGAAAAACAAACCTGGCATCCTGGCATGATCATTTGCAGAGATCCTGCTTTTATTGAACTTTTAATTAAAGTTAGTAGTTCATCATGGGAAGGATGGCAGGATCTAGTGGTTTTGATGAAAATGCAATCTTAACCTCTTGTTTTTTGTTTTTGTAATTTGGCAAATGATTGAAGTGGAATAGAAACCTGGAATACCTAAGTATGTAGTACCTACACTATATGTTATTTATTCTATTAACTCTGCCAATAATCTGTAATTATTGTTGTGTTTATATATTATTTAGCATGTAAAGTGTCTTTGAGTACCTGAAAAGTATAGAGAGCCTTCAGTAAAATGTGACGATGTAACAATGTGACAAATCAGTGAGCCTTTTCAGAAGACTCATAACTTCAGTAGAAACCCACGGGCTTGTGCCTGAGGGCCAGAAGTAGAGTTGGTTCCGACCGTTTTGGGAACTTATTT